CTCCAATGGGTCCTTTGCAGCTCAAAAAGGCATAGTTTTCATTTTATAGGCCGAAGCATGCATGGAACTACAACCATGGAACTTCATCAATTTCTCGTCCTTCATTTAGCGTAAAACAGCCACTCAAGGAGCTTAGAAACCATTAAGAACAAGATAATCACGCACTCAATGATTTTCGATGAAGAGACCAAAAGAATTTGAATCTTCCTTGGGTACATGAACTTCTACGGAGTGAAAAACGAACCTGAACTAGCCCAGAACTATATGTTGGAGCTATGAACAGTTGTGGCTTCCACAGTGATAGTAAACGATACAGCATAAGATCGATGATATTGTAAATGGCCCAGAGGTTGGGAGCCCAATAAGCATGAGTTAAACCTTGATAACCGAATAAGAATTACAAGCAGGCACCTATACGTGATAAAAGTTAAGGTAACTTGAACCAGTACCTCTAGATACAGGAAACAGCCGACTTAGTATCTGGATGAACCCGCGTAAACCTCCANAAAACGAACGGAACAGCCATAACCGTGGCGAGTTTGAATCCTGAACAATTTATGAAAAAAAGTTTTTAGTTTTGTGGTACTCATAATTGTTGTTGAGAGCCCTACCTGAACATATAGTCCGGCTAAACTCCAGGAGATCATCGAAACAACGAAAAAAATAGCGTCGAAGGAGGAAAACGACGTATGCAGGCGCATAATATAGGTAGATATGTTTGAAATTTAGCAAAGTGCAGTACAGTAAAGCTGACTAAACAATGTTTCGGTCTATTCCTATATGTAAACAAAAATAAATTTCAGGAAAACCCACAAACAAGAACTTCTCACAATCCGCAAAATAGATTGATAAAATAAACAGGCCGGTTAGCATAGCGTTATATTGGAAATGGATACTATCTATCAATAGAAGTCCACTATGGCATGACAGCACAACGAAGGCGGCTATTCTTGAAGAAGAAGAAGATTCCACACAATGGAAATGTAATTGAGCTCGATGCGAAGCATTATAAAATAAAGACCTCACCTGGCTTTTGGTTGCAATTTCTTTGGAAGAGTTTCCCATCGAGGTGAATCAGCGAAGCAGAAGATTACGCATGACAAAATCTGCAAAAGGATATGTAGAGGTATGCCGTTTTTTAATGATCTCATGATCCCTTTTTGAAAAGGCAGCCTGTTCGCTCGACACCCTATGCGGGCTCACTCTGATTTCAAGTCCCAATACAGGAACTGAACGCAAATATCTCCATGAACCTTTTCAGCTGCTTCTCTAAGCAAGCTCACAGGTTTACAAAGCAGGAAGCCTTCCATAATCCGAAGGATTATAGAGATACTACTAAATATGCCAATAGTAAATCTCTTATATGCCAATAGTAAATCTCTTTACTCAGCAAACAATCCTGTAGGTGAACGCAAAACAAGTGTTGAAGTGCTGCTTAGTAAATGAAACAAAAACCCACGTAGAAAATATCCGCAGCAATGACTGAAAGCCGTTGAAAATATAAAACTCGATTATTGAATAACGCTCCCTTTTGTAAAGTTAAAATATCCTCAAGACCACAAAAGTAAGCAACAGTGGCAAGAGACTGTAAAAGGAATAAAGGCCAGTAATAGCTAGAGAGCGACTAGAAAACATTCACGGAACATTATTTACCTTCTCGAAATATGCGAAAAATGGTGGATAATCAAGAGTCCACTCTGACGTTGACTCATAGTACCACTTTGAAAGTGGCAAATTGTGCGTTATGGCCATCCAATTTCGATGAACCTATTGAATCAACTCGGTTTTTCAGTAATACGTCCAATGTCAGGACAACTCACTTCGAAATCGGTTGATGTGTATGTCGGAATCAGAAGAACTTTGAGGGCTATCAAGACTGAAGTGGCAACGCACACAGCCTGCCATGACGACAATCCATATGTTCCACTCATCCTATAAAATCTCGTTAAAAGGCCCTGAATCAAGGGGAAAACTTCCTGATAGAGCCCGGAAGGTGTAGAAACCTTCACGCATAAGATTGACGAATTATTGGCAAAACTTCGACCTTGGGTGAGGGCCTAACCCGATGAGAAAGCATGAAGAATGATCTCTAACTAACTGGCAGATTGGCTGGTTTCCCAGACGTTTTCCCGTTTTAGACTAGACTATTCAAGGATGCCTTATAAGCCTAACTGCTAAAGTTTCCAGAAAACATGGTCGGTAATGCGCTAGCTCACCGTACTTTGCACATTCAAATCATAGGCTTCGGGATGTTCTGGGTACCGAATTTAACGGGTCCGCACTGATGACTGGGATCTTTGTTGAACTTTGTGATGACGTCCCTTTGTGGCTCTTTCGCAATTCTCTGGCCTGAAATGAGATAATTGTCAGAATAATTCAGTGGTATTCATTATAAAAGTCGCTTTCTTAGTTTCAGCCTAACATTCACTTGAATTCCTACATTGACGTATAGGACGTAGGCTGTCAGTCAAATGAAATCAGTGAGAAGGTAGAGATGCCAATCCCGTGGGT